TGTTAATGAGCTCTGCTGACCCCGCCCCTCTCTTCCGAGCTGCTCTCAGAGAGACTGTTTACTTTAGCCGCATTCATTGTGAAACTGGCTAATTAGCACATTATTAGGAAAGGCGATTTGCAAAGATTCATTACAAAACATTATACTCACTTCTTCTGTAGATGAGGCTGGATCACGAATGATTTGCGCGAACATAGATGCGTTTATGTAAATCGGGGGCGCATTCCCTTCAGAAACAATGTAATCCACTGCGTCTTCAGCGGCTCAGATGTCGGGAGTAAATGAGGACTGCTATGTTCATTATTACATCCAACGACAGAACACCTCAATCGCTTAGGAGTCATTCTTCAAACTATCATGGGAGGGGCCTGTCTGTGTGACGTCACACAGACAGGCATCTGAGATCGGCTTGATTTGAGAAAGGGGAAATGATTTAACGAGATAAAAAAAAAACACTGGGTCGATTTTTATCATTATAGGGTGGTTGTGTACACACTGCCAACACATATTTCAGTTTAAACTACTTGTAAAAGTGCATGTAGCATCCTATGACCCCTTTAAGGAGCGGCGGGCTGGGGCGCCACTACTTAGGCTAATGTGCATAGTGGAGGGGGGTCATGTCACCCCTCATCCCTAGTGCCATCAGCATGCCTGATTCTGAGGAAGGCCGAAGGATGAAATGCATCATTATTGAGATGGTCAAAATGTAAATAAAGGCTTTTTAACCTTTTTGGACCAGAAGAAGTGCCTTGAATTCTTCTTTTGTAATAACTACATTCTCATTCTCAAGTATCTGTGTATAGCCTGACGAACACTGCATCATTTCTTTTATTTTTTTGTGATCTGATTTAATACAGAGAATTAAATACAGTCACTATCATTAGTACAGACTGAACCAGTTTGGTCAAAGTTTTAATGGTTAGGTAAAAAAAAGTAAATCTTCTGATTCGTTCAATTAATTGTATTCACAAATAGTCTGTTTTAGAGAATCAATTTGCTCAAAAAGACTAAGGCAAAAAATTTATTTACCAGTTAATTTGAGTCATCATGGAATAGTGCTTACAATTAAAGCCAGTTTGGTTAAATCAAACTGATTTGTTAAAATCAATTCTATGAATTGGTTTAAAAAAGGTTTTGTCAATTAATTGGAGTCATTACTCAAATGTGTTCATAAGAGAGTTTTTTTTTAGCAAATTGATTAATTCAGACAGTTCATTTCAATGAGTTGGTTCAAAAATAGATTCACTTAATAGATGCCAAAAATAGATTCCTTTATCACCGTTTTGAAAAGTCACTGAACTGTCTGTTTTAGCGATTCACTTCGTTTCTCTTTGTGATTCAGTTCATTCGACTGGTTCATTGCGATCAACTGGTTTAAAAACAGATTCACCGAATCATTTGAGTCAACGCTCAACAGTGTTGTTTTAATGAATTGATTCATTCAGACAGCTTGTTTCAATGAATGAATTAAAAATAGATTCACAGATTTGTTCACCACTCAACAGTGATTAGAAAAAAATATTTGAATGATCTGTTTTAGCGATTCAATTCCTTTGGATGGTTCTAAAATAGACTTAAAACATTTGAGCCATCACTCAAAAGTGTTCACAAATTGTAATTAAATTCAATCAAATAGATTCATTCAGAGAGTTAATTTCAATGAACTGGTTCAAAAATAGACGATAATTATAACGATCTGTTTTCAAAATAGTTTCACAGATTAATTTGAATCACTCACAGTAATGCTCCCAGTGTGTCATTTTAATTTTTTGGTGGCACAATAAATATTTTAATATTTATAATGCATAAATATACATTAAAAACATCTAATAAAAAATTATTGAGATCCTCACTGTTTTGTGCCATTTTAGTAATTAACTTGTGTACTTTGCTGCAATACGATAAATTAGTAGTTGTACAGTAATGCGGTGTGTGGCAGCAAATCATCTCTGATACTGATGAAACAAAACATTACCAGCAGTGTCCTAAAATCAAGCAAAGGAAAGGCAGTTTATTAGGAGGTGATTGACAGGAATCACATCCCCATAATGCCACCTGAGACCCGGTGCCACAGCTAATGACTCGTCGGCCGCGCACCTCAGGAGAGCCAGAGCTGATCTCGTCTGAAGAGCTTCTTTATC